AAATTTAATTGTGGTGAGGCTCCAGGAACAGGGATTCAAAACACAGCCTCCTGAATCTCAGTGCTCTGACTCAATAGGCTCGGCAAGAACTTAGGTCATGGGCAAACCAGAATTTGAAGGGCTCTTTCTCTCCCCTTTACTGCTACGGGACCCAATTCCCCAGTCTAGTGAAGGCATTCACACTTCCATGTAGAAATGACATTTTTGACTCTATTATAGGAGAACAAGAGATCTTTCTCCTCTTAGAACTCGGCCTCCAAGTTCTAAGAGGAGAAAGTCCAGCTAAATGCTAGGCCTTTTCGGAAGCTGGGGCTTCCTAAGGATGCTCCAGTCTCCAGGCAAAAATTGAATTTCTGGTCCAAATTCCTTTGGCTACCTCATCAATTCACCATGTAATCTGCTCCCAGTCCCTAAGAAAACATTCTTCCTGAAGTTTCAGCCTCCCAGTCCTTTCTAGAAAAAAATGAAATATGGATTTTTTTTTTGCTCCAAATGCCTTCAAGGCAGGTTTGGCTGGCTGGAGTTGTAGGGATCGAACCAAAGCAACCTGAGCCTGACAGCTTTGTGGAAGCAGCTACTGAGAGAACTAAGCTAGGGCCAGGCCCCTGAGTAAAACACACTTGCTCAGCCCTTTCTTCTTAAGGGCCACAATGGGACCCAGCTGTGCCAGGCCTGACATCCTCAGGTGTATCTCATTCTCTCCACCATAGGATTTCAGTTTCCAAGGGTGAATCCTTTGTGGAGAACTTCCCAAGAGGGTCTAGGCCCTTTGCGAAGAGGGGCCATCCTAAACCTTTTCCCTTGACAGCCCCCAACAGGATTTCTGTTCCCTAATTCAACTAGAAAATGCATTCATGACTACATTAGCAGCAAGCGAGTGTCCTCGGAAATATTTTCATTGAAAATTCTTCCATCAAGTTCCATGTAGCCCTGAGTAAAACACACTTGCTCAGCCCTTTCTTGTTAAGGGCCACAATGGGACCCAGCTGTGCCAGGCCTCACATCCCCAGGTGTATCTCATTCTCTCCACCATAGGATTTCTGTTTCCAAGGGTGAATCCTTTGTGGAGAACTTCCCAAGAGGGTCTAGGCCCTTTGCGAAGAGGGGCCATCCTAAACCTTTTCCCTTGACAGCCCCCAACAGGATTTCTGTTCCCTAATTCAACTAGAAAATGCATTCATGACTACATCAGCAGCAAGCGAGTGTCCTCGGAAATAGTTTCATGGAAAATTCTTCCATCGAGTTCCATGTAGAGAACAAGTTGAGATGGATTTTTTTTTCTTAAGGGCCTGAGTTCAATTCCTGGTTCTGCCAAAAAAGAAAATATTATTTTTAATTTTATTAATTTAATTGTGCTGAGGCTGAAGGAACAGGGATTCGAAACAAAGCCTCTTCAGTCTCAGTGCTCCGACTCAATAGGCTCGGCAGGAACTCAGGTCATGGGTACAGCAGAATTCGAAAGGCTCTTTGTCTCCCCTTTACTGCTATGGGACCAATAA